AATTTTCAAGCTAGAAAATGATTTTGTAAGCTATTATTTCCTTCTGATATGGATTTAAATAACGTTTATGAAATCAATAATTTTCCAACTAAAACTAAAGACAGTAATTTAAAAAAATGCCTATAATTCTACGATTCTCCAGGCACCTAAAGACTCTTTAGTAGATAATAATATAGTATCACAGTCAATTGCTTGTACTGGAATGATAAAAAGGTAAACCAAAAAAAAAAAATTATTATTATTCATATTTATTTTTAAAAATAATATTTTTGTTGAAACAGTGAAATGAAAATATTAAAGTCATCTATAAAAAACTTAGGAAAATTTACTTTTCATACTAAGTTGAAACCTTTGACTACTTATTTAATTACCAAATCACAATGTAATAAATCATTAGATATTCTATTTGTAATGGCTTATGGCTGTTTCATTGTTTCAGAAGACTGGGTAAGATACTTTACAAAGATTAATTTTTATATTTTGTAAACAATTTAATAATTGAAAAAACTTTATGTTATTTTATTATAAAGGTATACAAATCACACAAGATTGGAAAATGGTTATCTCATCAACATTATTTGATTTCAGATTTGTCTGAACCTGTTAAAGTAAATATCTTAACTCACACATATTTTATTTTTTTTATATACATAATTATTTTTATTTTTAAGGAATTTTAAAAAAAACGTTGCACAACATTTGGGCCAGTGTTGAAATTTCATATAGGTATTTAATAACATTGGTAGAATATACATATCAGATACCTGTAAATCACCTAAACTCTTAAGACAATTGGTGCATGCTTGTGGTGGCCATTGTACAAGTACTAAATCTATTGCAAATATTGTGGTAGGTAATATACTGCAAATGGATAGTAAATCATGAGAAATGGATTTTAGACTGCATAACCCAAGGGATATTGTTAAATAAAAGTCAGTATAAGTTAGTTAATATTAATGAACATTGATATTTTGACCTGAAATAATTTTTATACAAACCAGTGTGAATAAACCTTAAAATTTTTATTATAATTTGTATTTCCTTTAACCTATTTTTATATATTTAAACCATATATTATTTTTTTTGTCTATTTTGTGTATTTTCTTATTAAAAATCATTCTATAGTAAGCTTAATGTGTTTTTGGTTATAAAGATATAAAATAATTCATATGATTTTTTTGATGATCATTTTCTATTTTGCTTAAATAATAAAATATTATGGGTAACTATATACAATTGTAAGATTATTAAATGGCATCAATTACCACTCACTTTTCTTTTATCCTTTATTAAAGAACGCCAAAAGAAGAAGAAAATTATATTTTTAGATTCTGAAATGAAATTATAAACTTAAAAGTAATGTTTATTTTTTTTTAAGGACTTTTTTTATCTGTAGACACTATTTACTTTTTATTGAGAGACATGCCTATTTAATTTGATATGATTTAAATTTTTATAATTCCTGTATTTGTAGTGTTTTTGACTTGGTGAAAACTTGATGTTGATCTGTTATTTTTTTTTTTTTCAATAGTTGTAATTGTTCTGATAAATTTCTTTTATCTAGTCTTACAAATACTTTTATGATAATAAATTAGTATTCTTCTTTTTCTTTTCTTAAAATTATACATTAAAAAATATATTTAACTATACTTTTCATTTAATACCTAACTAACACTTATATTTTGTTGCTCTTAAGTCTAAATCATCATAAAACAATTAATTTAATATTTATTTAATACCTCTAAGTCACTCTAGTATCTTAACTTATTCATCCATTCATTTTCATTTTGTCTATGATTGGTATTACCCTTACACTACCCTTAATGAATTAATTTCTATTCTATCCCTTTCCTAGTCACAATACACATCCACCTTAGCAATCTCACTTTATTTTTTGTTTTATTATCTACTGCTGAAGTCTCCAATTTTTTTCCCTTGGACTGGTTCTGGACCAAGTTAATTAATGTTTTAAAAATAGTTTATTAATTTTCATTGTTTTTATTTATTAATTTTTTACTAAAACATTTTGGCTCTCTACGTTTAAGAATGTTTTAGGTATGGTCCACCGTAAAAAGATGTTTCCAATTTCTGATATAGCTTAACTTTCCGATTTATACAATATGACATCATTACTGTTTTATATAATCTACTTTTTAATCTCTGCAGCAAATAAAAATTAATTCTCAATAAGTTGTTTAGTTGCATTTAAAACTAGTGTTGAAATTAATTATTAAATACATTTTGTGCTAAAATAATTATACATTTTTCTTTTAATTAAATATCATTGATAATAAAATTAAATTTTTTGAATGAATTAAATACAATTTTCCTTTAAATCATTAAAATTGTTTTACTTTTGATACAAATAAAAAAATTAAAATAAATTTTGCTTAAAAGCAATAAATTGTATCTTTTACAATATTATTATATCTATTTGTATATATTTTTTCACAACTAAGTCATTGCTGCTTGTGTCAAATACTTTGACGAATTACTTTGTTGTTAAACGTGACAGGTGGGCAATCAGATTTGCGCATTGTAAAAGTTATACGAGTAGACTTGTTTTCATTAATTTTTATTTCCACTGCTTTATATTTAGGTGACTTTGGGTCATCCGACAAGCAGTCAAGGAATCCTGGTGTGACGCTGAAATTAAGAGTGTCGTCAGGATATGTATCAAGGAAAGTGTAGGGTGTTTTTAGTATGTCGTGGTTGAACATAGAATAAAGAAAGGGGACGATGTCGTTACCTTGTGGGACACTTGCTATAATTAATACTACTCAAAATTTTGACCTATACCTACAATATTGCTGACCACACAACTTTTTTACAAAATTTTCTTAGACTAAATAGGATCAACGAATACATATAAATTCTTTAGATGTGCTTTTCTTTGATTTGTAATAAACATCTAATCTGTTTGCTGTAACTAACACCAAAATAGATTTTTTTTTTTAGTTATGAAGTCTTCTAACTGTGGAACTGTATCAACATTAATCATAAATGTATGCTGTAAATCTTGAATTGAATACTTTGCGGTGGATGTTTTCCTTTATAATTACGCATTGATTTTTTCGTAGTTGAAATAAATACCGCATGTAAGAAAATATAAAAAATATAAGCATCGTGACCATCTGAAAAATAATAAATAATTTGTAATATGTAATATTTAATGCTTAAAGAGAATCTTTACTTTCTAGAGGGTTCTATTCCAGAACTTCACCAAGCAACTTTGAGAATCTTTGATTTTTAATTTTAACAAATTTAATAGTTTAAATAATAAATCTGGATAAATTGTCTACTAGTTTGATGCAGATGGATAAATCATATTTCAATTTAGTTTTTAATAATGTTAATACGTATATACTTATTTGTAACCAGCTGGGAGTTTGTAACTTATCCAATATTTTAATGCCTGAGTAGTACTTTGACTCCTTTTAATATAATTTAACCTATATTTAACAGTAACTCTCCAAATAATTTCAATTTAATTCAATGTGCAATAATCGAGTTTCAATTTTTTTTAGTATTGAACAGTATAATTTTCTAAATCTTTAATTACATTTTCTAGTAACAATTTATATTATGATTGTCAGCTATGAAAAAAACGAATAGACTTTCATTAGAATTACAATGGGTACACAGTCGTGTCGCGTTCGTCGCTCATAGAAATTTATTCTCACCTGCGCTGCTGAAAAATACAGTTGCGTCGTGGTTATAGACACTTGTATAGGAATCGCACCTTAACAGTTATTTTTTTTATAATAATAACAATTGATAACAGTTTTCAATTTGTATAAAAGTTTAGCATCACTAAAATACTCTCTTTCTGTGCTCTCATCACCTTACCGAAATTGAAGTGGTATCATGGAGAGAATGGTAGAAGCCAGAGGGTACGACGTCACTCGCTTACAATATACATAATTATTAATTACCAAACCATTATATCTTAGTGACTTAGTGTATGGTATTTGGTATGGTAACAAAGTATTGTTTCATTCTCTCAGTAGTATTGATGTACATTAAAAATTGATACTTCAATTGATATTTTCCAAATCTGTTAATTATTATTATAATTTAGTTTTTTTTTTCACACATAATTGTAGTTGTGTATAGCAACCGATAAAATGTAATGCATTAGTATTTTTAAGTTGTTAGTAAACAATATTGTGATTAATTTTACAGTCTACGTAATTGTAATAGTGTTTGGTCTATTTATAGGTATAGAAATATAATTATCATCCGTCATGAAAGAGGATTCGTCAGAAATACATTCTATAGAACCGAAGTACTTCTTTGGGTTAACCACTGGCCTGTCCAATAATTGTTTATTTTTAAATGATGAAAAACTCGTATATCATGCATCTGGTGTTATTGTTATACACGATTACTCGAATAATTCCCAGAAGTTTGTGTACTTGAACGAACCACAAAAAGTTATCACGACAATGGACATAAACAATAACAAGTATCTATATACTATTGCTCATAATTATAATATGATCTACTGTACACCAGCGCATAATGTATTTATTTTAGTGCTCCATAGTGCTGTGAACTTTGCGCTTATTATGACAATCTTTACTTGCTAAAATCATATAGCATGAATTATTTGCTTAAAATTATGATTCATGTAATTTGATTATAAATTTTTCAAATATCAGTATATATTGTTTTTTTACCTGCGTACAACAAACGATATTTTAATTCAAGCTTTAAACATGACGGGTAATTCATTATTGTAGTCGGTTGTCATGATTAATACAAGATTTAAAAATTTGTGTTGAAAATTTTGTCGAAACAAGTGAACATAAACTTTGAAAATATTTGAATTATCACACTTTTGTTTAGTTAAAACGTAGGTATATAATGATTAAATATTTAGCAAATTACATGAATTACCGAACCACATATCAAATAGAACGGTTAGGAAATTAAAAAAAAAATCTATCAAACAAATATTTGTTTATTAATTCTAGGGTTAGTAGGTTCACAAATAAAGATGCATACATAATGCACCTATTGGAGGTGAATTGATTTTATAATTATGCTTATAATATAGAAATATTTTGGCTGTGGCCGAAAAGGGTAAGAAACCGTCAATCAGCTTATACGATTTGGATAAATTCAAACACATAAGGCAGCTGACCATACCATATGAATCTAAAGCCAACAGTTTCATAAATATTAAGTTTTCTTATGACGACGTATATGTGGCTGCGCTTTCTGGCGATCCTGATTATATAATGTACTATTACAATTGGAGACAGTCGAAAGTCGAGAGTCACTTGCAAGTTGTAACCTCAGCGAACGCCGCTGGACCTGTATCAGATGTAATCTATAAAATATCAATCGGCTATTGAAATAGTAAACAAGTTAATATAGTCCGATGATGAGCATAACATATTAACTAATAATATCGACTATTATAAAGCTTACTAATATAGTTGGTTAAATTGTCAACTAATGGGTAACAAGAAATTAGTGGTTTGTTTTTCTGAAATCAATTGAAAATATTAAAAATTGTATTTAAAAAATAATTTACAATCTAGAAATTTACAAAGATTTTCGTGCACATGGGAAAAACAATTCACTTAAAATATAGAATTTGTTAGATTAAAAATATAATAATAATAAGTAATAACACTGTTTAGATGGCGTTAAATCCAGTCAATAGCGGTTTATGCTGTTTTGTTGGCAAGGGATTGTTCCGTTCGATGGTCATGGGCGAATTGGTTTGGAAACAATACGGATTTCACAAAGCCAACAAATTTAATTTTAGTACTGTGTGTTGGTTAAATAGCGAGAGGTAAGTATAAATGTTACTGATCGTTCTCTGCTAATAATAATTTTTTTGACGAAAATCTGTTTGAATATTACAAGTAAAATAGGTAGGTAGTAGTATGTATTTGTATGTTCATTGCACTTTTTACAAGGTAGATTTTTAAAGTTTAACTGGGATTAAGTCTCTCAAATCCATTTATTTTTCCGTGAAAAATAAAATTTTAGTGATTTTATTATTGATCAAAGGCCATATATATTTACAGAAATCTTTAACTATAAATTTCATCCTCACATTAACTTACTTTTAAAATTATTAAACAAATAATTATTTCAAGTAATAAAGGAATATAGATTAATTCAATAAAAAATTGTACTAATATTTTTTATTTTAAACTTGTTATTACACGTTTTATATTTAATATCATAAATGAATTCTAAATTATTGTCAAAAGTCTTTTTACTTTACTAGTAAAATATACATATTCTACAATACCATTGTAAATTAATAAACAATAAGCAGTTAAAGTAATGAGACATCATATTCATACATTCAACCCTCGTAATAGTGTTTACATTATATTTTTAAATAATTTGTTCCAATTTTTGAAATTTTTTTTTGATTTGGTGTTTTGAAATTAATAAGGTTCATTTATACTATTAATTTTTATGTAAATTTCAGATTGTAACTCTAATATTTTGTTCATTAAATTATAAATTTGAGGATGAGGAGTATTAAAGCTTTTATCAAAATGACCGTGAAATGATTCACAGGTATTAGTTGTTCGAGTTAAAGTTACGGAAGTTGATGCCCAAATATTCAGAGGAAAGTCAACAAATAAAATATTCTTGTTTGAAATATAGCAAGAAAATTGTCTTTAGTCGATCATCTTCAAGCATCGTAGGCATTAATTCATGATTAAAACAATCGCTAACATTTTCTGGCTCTGAAAATATCATTCCAAACATATGTAATAACCATTCTCTAATAATAGATCCCTTTGATTTATATTCTGAACTTGAACTAACTTTTTGAATTTGTCTTTACCAGGCCTGTATCAGTAAAATTGACATATTCTATATTTATGACTTCAGGCCAGATGTTTATGCTGGCAAAATTAATAGCTTTTCGAAGTCAATAACCATAGATTTGGGTTCAATATGTATCCATTTTCAGTACATTTTTTCTGTCAAAGTTCGAAAAATGTATATATGTGTTAGTAGATTTATTTTTTAATAAACCAAGCACCAAGGTATATAGTATCAATTAAAATATCCATCTACAAATAGCATTTCTTCCTTAAATAATACTTCTAAATTAATCTACAACATATGATTATGATTTTACTGTTTAAAACATTATAGATGCATATCTTCTTTTTTCGAGCTTTTATGTTGCATGAAGTTTAAAGCTTTCTGAATAGACTGAGTTGTATTTGGTAATGGAGATAGTAAATTTATTTTCGCATTATAAATATTTATTTTGATATATTTGACATCACTAACCTTGATTAAAGTTGTATCTTAAACGTTTGTTATCCTATGGAGTATTTTTGCTGATCTTTCACAGATATCCTGGGTTGCTTTTCTCTTTACATTAGCGGATATAATTTATAGTTGTAAATTTTAAAGATTAATTTCATGATTATGTTTTACATTTTTTTCTGTAATATTATTGTTTTTTGCCATCTTTACTTATTATACTTTTACTAAGAATTTAACAATATAATTTAATGGGGACTAAATTATTAGTATATCAACTTGCAATTTAAATAATAATTAGTAATTCTAAGCAACATTTTTAAACAATCACATATTTTCATTGTTCTTTTTTTTTTCTAAGACAATTAAGTATTTTTCTTATCAAATTCATAATATATTATCATGATAATTATTTGTAAGTTTTTTTATTTCTGATTTGTAAGCTCTACATACGTGTTTTTATGTTTAAATAGAGTTTTAGCTGGTACTGTTGATGGTCGTATATTTTTGATCGAAAATGGTGAATTAAAGTCTGTTTACAACATTCAGACTCTCTCGGAGTTCGACCCAAATGTGATAGATCCAAATCCATTGCAAGTACGGCCACTATTAGATAGTCGGGATATGAAAATTCAATACTTTACACCAGTTAGAAATGGACTAATGTTTGTGGTGGATGGTTACCAAGTTTACTACTACAAAATTAAAGGGAATCGGTAGTCTGTGCACCAAATACAATTAGAAAGCTTTTGGTACTGTTCTTATGCGTTCGATTATGTGTATAGGTATAGAAAAAGCATCGTGTTTCAAGTGCCTAGAGACGGCGAACGTCAAGTGAATATCAGTGAAGGTAGTGGCGATAGTGGCAGTAACAGCAACGGTGACGGTGATGGAAATACCGATGACAGTGTCGGTGGTGATTGTAAAGTATCAGATGCTATAAATACGTTGAGTGTTAGCCCAAAAAACAAGAAACTAGTTTGCGTCACTGGCACATCTCGATTGTATTGGTCATCGACAGAAGGAAAATCCGGAATGATGGATGTGAGCGTTATAGTTAATATGGGGCAAAGAATTATACTTTTATAGATCGGGTGAATGAAATAGATATAGTTGATATACTGAATTTCTGAGTTAAGACTTTAGGAGGTGGAGTATCCCAAGACCATGTTATCTTTTTTTTACACCGTATTCATTTTCATAATAACTAGGTGGAGTGTATGGCTTGACGACCAAAGTGATCAATATTGTCATACTTATGATTACCAGGAAACTTTCTTACATTTTCGTAAATTTAATAAATCATTTAACGTTAATTTACATTTTGAGGGCTAAACATACTTCTGGATATACAACCCACAACTATGACACCTATTAAGACTAAATCACATTTAAGGCGCTTAAATTTGAAAACAGATTACGACTTATTTAATTCCTAAAACAAGCTATTGATATCTGTCGCTTTGAGGCGTTATATACATATAGCAAATAATAAGTCATTTCTCTAATGACAGGTAGAGCTTGAACCGTTTGGCGAGACGCTGCACCGTGGTGGCGTGTTTGGTCTGTCTGTTAGTGATTGGAAACCCATCTTCATGACTTGTGGAAAAGTTGATCGGACTGTGAAACTGTGGGACTATATGAGACGCACGTTGCTGCTGTCTCAGTGCTACGATGAGGACGTGCACGATGTGTCGCTACACCCAACGGGGTCATACGCGGTAGTAGCGTTTCAAGATCGTGTCGTGTTTAACGTTATATACGACTCCGTAGCGCTGAAACCACGCCGAGAGTTTCCCGCGGATAATTGTCATTTGGTTCGGTTTAGTTTATCCGGTCACATGTTTGCTGTCATCAACAACCTGGTTATCGACGTCTATTGCTCGATTACATTCGACAAACGATTCACGCTTTCTGGCCACAAGAATAAAGTAATTTAATGTGTAGCGTTTAAGGCATGAAAGAGTTGATCATACATTTACATTTTATCCTAATTAAAGGTAAAAAATTACACATTTAAGTAAAAAAATAATTAGTCATTTCAAAAGCGACATAAGTCATTAAATTTAAATTTCACAGGAACCACAAAAACTTAATTACTCCTGAAATTCAACTTTTTTTACTTTTATATCTATTTATTAGTTTATTTACAAATTTTCTGATATTCATTATCCACAATTTTAAAATAGTCTATGTTTGATCATAATTTATTAAATTGAGATAAAATTTATTTGACTTGTGTCGTTTTTGCAGGGAATAGTAATTTATAATATAAAATCCAAGTCAAGATATACAATAAAATAGATAAATATAGAAATGTTGATAATGTTATTACACAAACTGAAATAGCTGTTAAAAATAAAATAAATTGACTTGTCTTAACTTGAACTAAGAGTAACAAAACTTAAAAACAATTTTGATCGAAACTTAACAAAAAATAAAAAATACATTAATACATTGTATTTTGAAAAATGCTATGGTACGCAATCGTACTCTTTTTCAATTTTCTGCTTCTTTATTTTGTTCACCAGCAGTTGGCCATTTATTTATTTATTTATTTATTTATTTATATAACTTATTTAAGTTTAATTGTTGCGGCTTATTGGCACTTTATTAGTATTAACCTTAGTGGTTGGTTATGTTTTATTATTAAGTTGCTAATTTTAATGGTTTAAATGGGTTTTTTAATAATCCATCGATATAATTATGTAATTATGTATGACATAACTTATGTGTAACTAAAATACCTTTATATTCTGTATTATACTCAAAACTCATGTATGTAGATGGGGTAAAGGATTGTTTTTGGTTCTTTTGAACTTTTTCCAAATGCCTCAACAGATAAACATGTCTTTTTGCAATAGGATGCCACCATTCTTTAAAGTAATAAATTTGATTCATCTAAAACTTAATAACTTTGAACTTTTCATTACATATACTATTCATTAATAATATATTCATCTAGTACATATATACGATCATGTTGACTTATTTTTTTTTTTATATAATTCCAAAATTCCGATTGTTGTTGAGTAAAAATGTATGACATATTATAGGGAAAAAGTGGTAAGTTCTTTCAAATCTTTGACTATCACAAACTACTCAACACTAACAAAAATTGTATAGCGGTTTTATGTTTGTTTTTTGTATGAACAATCATCATAGAATAAGTATAATTTTTTTATATCTGAATTAATATTATTACTTATATGATCCAATAATATATAGCTTACATCGTTTGAAGACATGTTTTACTTAATACAATTTAACAATATCAAAACTTCAAATTTCGCGCTATTAATATTATTGATTATTTATTATTATTAACGTGATAATATTATAGTTAATATCTACTATATTATTATTTTATTATGATGTTGTTGATATTAAAAATATATGATATAAAATAGTCATGGACCATGGTTAATAGTGCGATCTGTGAGTGGTTGTAAAACAATACAAGTCATTAATTTGTGTAGTTTTTGCAGTGATTTTAGTTTTTGTAGTAAATTTATTTGTATTAAATCTGAGTCTGACAAATGTAGTTTTTATACAGAATACATAACCAGGTATCTTCTTCTTTGTGGGTTTATTGCCCTTTAGGACCATCCTGTCTCACAACCAAGCCTCTTATCTTCCTCCATCTGTAATTAATTTAAGTAAAAAATCTTTTAATGTTAAATAATTAATAACTTGATATTTTTTCACGTATTACTAATTCATATTGTTAAATACATTTTTATAATTTAAGTAAGTTTGTTAATTTTGCAAGCTAAGTTAAATAATTTCGTTTGTAGATTAAGTTCGTAGTTCGTAATTTTGTTTAAATTTTAAATAATACCTCTCTTTCATTACCTACAGCAACGGTATATAATATTTGTCTTTTTTTAAAAATAATTTGGTAAATCAACCTTTATTTTATCATGTATTTGATTACGAGAAGTTACTTTATATATTATGAATTTAAATTAATCTAAAATTTAATCTGTAAGTGCCTAAATAAGTATTATTGACGACTGACAACTGTGACAAGTAACTATAAAAAATAATTTTCAAAAACCTCTTTTGAGTTTTGATTTTACTTTATTCTGATGACCTTGACCATTATACAAAAGATTTTTATATCAACAACAGTTTGACATATAAGTAATTATAAGTGTATATTTAATGGAATCTTTATATCAGATCACAGATCTAGTTTGGGCCAACAGTGACTGGAAGTTGGTGTCGTGCGACGTCGATGCTCGAATGTGTATCTTTAATTTGTATACGAATGAACACGTGATCGACATCAAATTTTTGAATAAGACATTCGTTAGTCTTGCTGTATCGAACAATATGAAACAAATCTACACGGCTTCACCTGATGGCAGAGTCAGAGAGTTATATAACCGAACGGTTTGTACTTAGATACATTATAATACTTATTCATGTATAGATAATTCTAGTTCTTACGATCCGATGTTTATTAATTCATGTCTTCATTTTATTCCAACTGTCTGATAATTTTCGTATTCCAAAGTATAAAAAAACAAAATAACTTATTTTTTTTTATAATTCATTACTTATTTTGTACGCTTAGGTCCTTATAAAAAAAGATACGAAATAGATTAACCTATTAATCTGGGGGGGGGGGATTGGAAGAGTATATTCAGTGATGTGCTAAGAACTATCATTGATGACTTGATCAATCATATTGTTTTATTCAACATCACATATGATATATTTTGTCGGGACACTAAATTTAAATTTTATACGGTTAAGCACATTTTAACGTGCCACAAAGCCACTTGTTACGATCGTGAGAAACTGCTTTATCAGGGAAACGTGATCTCCTATATTATTTATGTCAAAAATGTTGTATAATCATTCAAATACAAATATTATTAAAATTTAATCTGATAAACACATTTTTTTTTAACAGTACCTATAAATAATTAATACAATATTTATTAAGATATACATTTAAATATATATTTATATTTACGACACTTCTTTTTTTTTCTCATTGTTAAAAGGAGTTGAATATATTTGAAAATTATTTGAAACAGAGAAAACATAAATACGCATTAATTTATTAAAACACGCGACGTTTATAGTTAGATATAAATCACGCACTGCGAGATGCATAACATTATATCATAAACGATATGAGTATAAAAATAAATATTTTAATAAGTATGTTATGAAGTTTTTCTTGCACTTAAAATCCGGTTAAATAACGTAGTGTTTGAACGCGACGTTGTACGGCGTACGCAATTTAAACTATTCTGATTTCACGTGTCGTTGGATACTGACTGATACTTTTTTTATTTTTTGCCATTATTTAATTTTGAAAGCTCATCGCTCCTCGAGGATTTAAGATAACACTAGGGAGGGAGGTACCATCCTCGTTAAGAACCACTAGTATAAGGCTTCCTGTTATTCTCATTAAGTGCCGTATCGACGTGTTTGGTATGTTTTGATACGTTCCATACAGAGCAAGTATACTCGCCATCGGAAAAACTAAGTGCTAATACCGTAGTCTAAGTACGGTTCATATTACATTGTACCTATTAGTTTCTTTATACAGTTATTTTGTGCTTCAATTTTCATTTTTTCATTTGTTGTACTGTTCTTTAAACGTGAGGATTCTGTTTAGTGGAATTCCTTTGTTAACCGGATATTTTTAAGTTTTTTCTGAATAACTTAACCCTTAGTTACTTTTTTAATTCTTGATTTAAAATGATTGAAACTATGTTTTTTATATGTCCTAATTGGTTATCTGTATAATATTCTGTTAATTTTTGTAGTGATTTTATAAGCATTTGTTTGATTGCTTGGAAGGTTATGTGTTGTGCTTCCATGGCTAAATCCTACTTATAGGAAGCGGTTTGTTTCTTCACTGATGAGTTGTTCATAGCATGGGTGCAAGCATAGGTTATAGCACGATTCATCGTGGCATGAATTTAAGAAATTAAGTAGCCATTATTTAGTTTTTTCACTTGACTCCTTTATTTATTTCTTCATTATTTCGTCAACTCCGGATGCTTTACCATTTTTCATTTCTTTCAGGCTAGTTCAGAAAGAGTTAAGTCATGTTAGAGGTTATTGAACTTTTTGTCTCGGTTTCTTATAAGTTTTTCTATTTTATTTTGTTCCTAGTTCACAATTTAAGAGTAGTTGTGTGGCTACTTGTTTGACTGTTACATTTTGTCGTTTAAATGTATGACCGTATCCCAATTGAGATTCTTAATGAGTCATTAAGATTTTTTATGTTATTATCAAGTTTTATTTTTTTATAAGTTCATGCTATCTATTATTTTGATATTTACAAAGACGGTTTATCATAATTTTTCCAAAATTTGAAGTTTTTTTTTTTTAAACGTGTCTGTGACAAATGATTTTTCATATCTATTTTTATTTTGAAAATTTTTCCCGTCATTCTAATTATATATTTTTCTCCACATCCTCGTAGAATGAGTTGTTAGGAGGTTTCTTTAGTTTTTCTACTAATTTTACATAGTTTTTTGGTTTTGGGTCTAAGTTACATGTTTTCTTATTTTAAGTTTTTCTAAAATCTTTCCGCTATGCTTATATAATTTGGAATCTCATGACTTCTGTGCTACTATGGCTCAGTAATGAATATTCATTGTAGTTTTACATATGTTTTTTTTGTAGTTTCTACGTTTATTTTATCACTCACAAAGATTAGGTCTGGACTATTGCTTTTTTCCATGGGCCGTTGTTAAAGGGTGAAAAAGTTTTGGATCGAAGACTAGAGGTATGCCTTCAATTTCAACATAAGATTCGACCCTTTTTTCATTTTGCTCCGCCTCTTGATAACCTCATGGGATGCTCTTCTTATTAAAAGCACCCAAGACTATATCTGTATTGCAGTTGCTGAAATTAGTTAGTTTTTTAAAGGTTAAAGTAATGTTTGATGGTTTATATATCGAAGTAATTGTACAGTTGCGTATTTTCAGGGTTAGTATTTTAATTTAGCTATTATAGCTAAGACTACACTTTCGATTATCGGCCCGAATTTAGTGTATTGTGAGTGTGGTACTTCAATGACTTATAATAAGTCGCATTTAAATGATTCATTAATGGAGGCTAGAAACCTACTTTTTGTCACGAAAATAATTTTCAATATTTTGTGTTATCTCTTTAATTACTGGTAGGAATGGCCCCGAAAAGAGCTTTTTCGAGTTTATGGTCTTTATTTTGTAGTATTTATTCTGGTACGGACTCAAATATCACCATGCAGGAGACGAAACGTGTAAGCTCTTAATATGACCCCAATTATTTAAATTAATTTTATTACGGATAAGAATCTTTTCAAACTAAAATTTAATTAAAAATGTTAATAAAGCAAATATTTAAGTTTATTTTACAATTCTCTTTTCTTTATAATTAAGAGATAAAATATATAATCCAAGAAAATTGATTATGTTTTAAATATCTTTTATAGTTATTAATAATAAGTGGAAATCTAATATATCTATATATTAAAATGGAATTCGTTTCAATTTGAAATATATATATTTTTTATCTCGGTGAAACTTATATTATAGTTAATGATATTTATAATGATTAATTATTCTTAATAATTTGATCAAAGCTTTTTTAGAGTTAATTTTAAATCAATTTTTGTGTTTAGGTGATTCGTGATAAAGATTTAGACCATGGTCCGTTAAATACTATAATTCTATCCAGGTCAGATTTAATTTTATTCATAGCGTGTCAAAACGGCGTCATATTATCTCTGGAATTGCCAATCAAGTCTCAAATCAAATACAAAGAATTTTGCATTCACAATAAAACTATATCAAAGGTGTGTAGTTTCTTTTTATGCATATAAAATTTAAAAATTATAATGTGTTCTACAGATGCGGTTGTCAATAAACGATTCAACATTGATAACGTGCTCTGTGGATGGTAGCATTTGTATATGGTATGTGAAAAACTCCAAAGGGAAGATTACACATGCTACTACAAAATTTTCAGATGATATTCTCGTTTCATCTAATTATTTGAAGAATAAAGTTGAAACGGTTTCAATTTTAAATTTGAGGTTAATAGAATTGGAAAAAAACAGTGAAAATGATATAGTTCAACTAGAAAAATCTCACGAAAGACAGTTACGAAAAATAAAAAATCAATTTTCTTTGAAGATGGAACTAGTAAAACAAAAAGAAAATGTAAGATTGACAAAAATTTAAATATTTTATTCCATGTTCAATATTCTTGTTTTTATCAATGTCACTCATTATTAATGGATACATTTCAAAAGTTATGTGTTTTAAATTTGTATAAATGCTAAAAACAGAGTTAAAAAAATGTTATAAGGATTAAATTTATTTCCCAGAAAAAGTTATCATAATTAGAGCCCAAAACTTAATCTTAGTCTAATGTTTATACAGGTTAATTATTTAATTAAACAACACTTATTAATTTATATTTTTGAAACATTTTTTTTACATAATTTATTGTAGAAATAAAATAACATTATTTAAAATATTATGCTTTTTTATCGTTATATATTTTTTATAATTTTACTTTTTTGAAGAACAACAATTTCATGTTCAGGAGCAGTATATTTTTCGGAGTATTTTGATACGGTAAACTCGAAATTCTAACGAGTAGTTATTGAGTTATAATTATTTAAAGTTTTGGTTAGCGGAATAGTAGAATAATATTATTCGGGGTATCCTTTGTTATTCACTTATAACTTATTAACTACTTTTCCGAATTTCATTTGTATGTGTCAAAATAACAAGAAAAATATTCTGCTTTTGCGTATGAATTCAAAAATGTACCTCGCAATTCTAAAAACAAAAAAACTCAAAAATATATAATAATAATAAATAAGGTGGAAAAAACAGAAAAGGTACTTCATCAATGTTTCAAAAGCTTCAATTTTTTTTTTTTTATTTACTTAATTATTAATTTTTTATAAAAGAAATCAAATGGCACTGATGAAATATTCCCTGAAATAACATTTCGATATACATACTTGAGTATTCACAAAATAACTTACCCATTATAATACAATGAACGGATATTTATCCATATTAAACAAATACTATTATCTGAATATTTCTTTTTTACTTCACTCACTGTTAGCGATATTTAATAAGAATTAAATCACTTCAAAGCATAAAAAATTATCGTCGAAAAAAAATTTTATTGTGTTTGTCTTATAGACGTGTAACAAAATACATTGTTTTCAGTGTTTAAGTTATAAATCTGATTTCTATGTTTAAGTTAAACTATGAAAACCAATTAAAATATTACAAAGTAAAACTAATATGGTTTAATATATTTCAATATTTTCTTCTTTTCGAATGTACCAAAGATATACAATTTAAAAATGTTTTAGGAAATGTATGCATTACATGTTGGCGATAAAATTCGTTTAGAAAATGAAATCACTAATCTAAAGCAAAACCAAGAATCCGATATTCAAATGTTGAAAGATAGTTACGAGGAACAACTTAGATATGAAGATGAAAAATACGTTAAGACAGAAAAAGATATATTTGATATAAATAATGGTTTAAAGAGGTGAAATGATTGATACATTAAAATATTACACAGCTATTAATTGCTGTAAATCATAATTTAGACAAACAGAAATAATTTTAACCACTCATGAAACGAGTATGCAGGAATTAGCCAAAAAATTCGAAGAAGATTTAAAGAAAGAAGAGGACATTTTTCAAAAAGTATGTATTGTCAAAGTTAAACACTTTAACAAAAAAAAATATATAATATTATTTAATAATGTTATTAATAGTTCAAGGACGAATTGAGCAAGGAAATGAATCAATATGAAATTGAGATAGACGAATTTGACTACCAAGGTGATTGGGAAGTGTATGGGCTGTTTAATGAAATTGTGCCCGAATATCAAAAGTTGTCATGGAAAAATAAAAAAGCACAAAAAGAAGTCAATGCATTAAAAGTTAAGATTAGAATGTAAATGCTTTTTGAATGTTTAGTATAACAGCTGATAAAACTCACGTGTATTTTAGGGCCAAAAAAGAAGAAGAAGACATAAAGTATATGGTTGATAAATTTGATGACGACATTAAGAAAATGATAGCAGATGAAGAAATATTAGATGAAAAAATTGAAGTGATGGAAAAGACGATGCAAGAATGTAATGCGACTATACAAGGTAAAGATAATTGGATGGAAAATGAGAAATTGAATATGAAAGACGTTGAAATACAAATATTAGTATTAAGGTTCAATAAGGAAGAACAAATAAAAGTTATCGATCCATTGAAAATGAAACTTAATAATTTAAAAGCATTCAAAGATTCGGTTAGTATGCAGAATAAATAAATCTTAAGGTATTATTTTGAATTGTACTGACATGATTCATTTCGTTATGTTAAAAATAGATGTTGTTTTTTAAATATGAAATTGGAAATTCGATGGAACAAATGAACTTGGAATGTGGTATGGTAAGACAAAAGATAAAATCAAAAAAAAAAGAGTTAAAACAAATTGTAGGAGGAATTAGAATACGGGAAGCGTTTATTAAAAATTTGCAGCTCGAAGTATACTACATCTACAAAGGCATAGATAATGAAGTTAAATTAAGAGATTCCATTAGTGTAAATTAAAAACTAAAGTTTATTTATTATTTTCGCTATTTGGGTATTTCTAAGAATGTAATAAAGTTTAAGATTTGTTAATTTGTTTTTCAGAGTTTACATCTTAAATTTACAAATAGTAATTGGTTAGATGGAAAAAAATCAAATGACTTGTTAAGACAGAGACAATTTTTAGAAAGGGCCGTGACCAACTTAGAACGCCGCAAAACTGTAGCTGATGAACGACAGAATCCTTTGCAATTCGATATTGTTGAAAAAAATCAATTTCTTCTCCTTTTAGTTAATAAGTTGAGAAAAGAAGTAAAGACGAATGAGTCCAAGTGCAAAGAATTACAGAGTATTATTGAAAAGAAAACCTGTCGATCGGTATTGGTCGAAAATATTAAAGTTAAAGAAGAAGAAGAAAAAGAAAAAGAAAAAGAACAAGAACAGTCATTTAAAAGTTTATGAAAACCAGTCGAATGACTTTGTGAAAAATTCTTATTAATATTAGTGATGGAGTAAAACAGAATTAGGTTTAATTATATGCACAACATTATAACATTGTTTATCACTTTTTACTAACTAATGGATAATTAAATTTCAACTTGTAAAATTTGCTGGATATATACGATATTAAATTTCAATACACCTACTTATGTAAGACTTATAAAAATATATCTGTAATATTTTAAATCATAATTTATATATTTTAACTCTATAAAATAATGATTTAACATTTTATATAAACAAAAATTATGAAAGGTTTTGGTTACTCTATAGAAAAGGTAAAAATCATTATTTTTATTTTTGATGTTCTTTTCTCTTTCATCGCTGAATTATTATTTTCTACTAGTATGTACAACCATGCTGGGATAATATTTCATATTTTAATGGATTTTTTTCTTTTATTTATTATTTGTACTGCGATAGGTCAACAATTAATATTTTCTTCTTCTTCTCCGGGTTTCATTACTTTCCGAGAGCTTTCGTCGTTATCACTAAATCACTTCTCTTGTCTTAATCTTGTACTATCTCCCTCCAATTCTGTGCTCTAAGATCTTCTAAATTTTTTTCTACGACATTTATCTATCATTTTCGAGGACAATCCCGTGGTATTTTTCCTTCTGGTTTCCAATAAATTTATTATATTAATTACGGCATCTGTATTATTACATGTCCTTGTCATCGTATCTTTGGCTTTTATGAATCCATAAATTGTTATCATTTTTAACTCTTTAAATTCTTAGTTGAACTTCTTACGCCACTGGCTTCTCTTCATGTCTTTGACTGGACCGTATATAATAGGGACGGTCAAACTTTTTTCGGCCGCGATCTACTAAAAATATACTTTACCTTTGAGGATCGAGTTCGATAAAAATGTTTTTATTATTATTAAGTTACTATACCACCATAATTAATTTTCGTGAGCGCAGTCTAAAAATAAATTCTAGCACGATCGACTTTAAAATCGTTGCGATCGACTGTTTGGCTGCCCCTGGTATATAATTCTTCAGATTTTGTTTTCGAACGTTTTCAGTCTTTGCTGTGTTAAATAATAATGGGGACAATATTTCTTTCTGTTTTAGTCCTGTCACAACGTTGAACGCCTTCGATATAATACTATATACTTTGACTTTTTCCATGGACAGTTTTGTTAAATTTATTATTTATTCGGGAGTATAAATTCTTTCATTATGTTGTAAAAACCATTTTTATTGGTTACTGACGAAGCTGTCGTACGTTTTCTCGAAGTCAACAAACATTTGCCATATTTTCTGGTAATACTCATACTTCTTGTTTATTATCCGTGCTAATATTGATAATTGCTCTACGGTATATTTCCTTTGCGAAATCCACTGTGGTATTCTCCTAAGTATTCTTTTGCATTGACGATTTATTGTACTCTAAAGAATACTTAGTATACTGAATTCTCTAAATGTAATCGCTACATTTTATTTTATTACCCTTCTTATGGAGTGGTATAGATATTTTTTCGTTCCATATATCTGGTATTTTTTCTTCCTGTCATAAGATTCTAAACCAAATCTTGTAAATAAAGTCATGCATATCCGTTCTGTCAGATTTTATATTTTCAACACTAAGCTATCGGAACTCGTAGTGGTGCAATTTAATAATAAAAGGCCCATGTAAAATTTTTGGACTAGGATCCTTACCTGCTAATAAAAATAAAAAAAACAGTCATATACCTTATTATTATTCTTTTTTCACATATTTATTTTTATTTATACAATCTGTATAAAATATATTTACAATAAGCACAATAGATGGAATGATTTATTATAATAGGTCATGGTTAGCTTGAGTGAAGAAGCTATTCAGTAATAGCACTTCATGGCGTGGTTGGTGGTGGTTAGTCGACTAGCCGGCATAGGCTAGCATAAGTCACGGCACCAGTTGCGTTTTAAACGTCGACCAGGGTCGCCCAGAAGTGTTAGTGAGAGAGGTTTTGGATGAGGGGGTTACGATGATTTGCAAGTTTAAGGTGGAAACGTTTGTATAAGGTTTTAACTACGTTTTTGACTGTCGGAATAAGAAAGTCCCTGTGGAGAGTATCATTCGATACGTAAAAAGGAGCTTTGATTATCTTTCAGAGGCATTTGGATTGAAATGTTTGAATTCTGTTTATGTTAGTGTCTTTGGCTGACCTCCAAAATTGAATTTCATAGGACTAAATAGGTTTGAGGAGTACCTTATAAATAAGAATTGTATTATGTAGTGTGACATGTTTGGATGAAAGGAGGAGACGAAGCTATCTTAGACGATTATTAAGTACTAGTCGTTTGTTATATATGTGGGCAGCTCATGTTAGTCGGTGGTCTAGATGTAGACCTAGGTAACGCACATTTTGGGCAGTTGGGAGAGGTTGGTTGTTAAGTGTGATAGAAGGGCAGTTTATGGGTCTGAGTGTGAAAGTGCAGTGAATTGATTTAGATTCATTTAGTTTGAGTCCCCATTCTTTGTACCACGCCGAGAGCATGTCGAAGTGGGTTTGGATTTTGTAAGATACCTCAAGAGGTTCGTGGTGGAGGGCTAGGATGGTTTTATCATCAGCGAAGTCACCAGTGATGGTAAGGTTAGTTTAATGTATACAGGTTGAACAGGAGAGGCGCCGCTACAGCTCCTTGTGGTACTCCAGCTCTAATTGATGATATATCAGATAAGGCTGAGCAATATCGTATGGAGAAATGTCGGTTTTCAAGATAGGACTTTTAGATTAAATAGAAGCTGGGGGGAAATATTGACTTTAATTTGAAAAGGAGGCCATCGTGCCATACCTTGTCAAATGCTTGTGCTACGTCTAGTAAGGCGTCTGTGCAGATTAGTTTCTTTTCAAGTGAATAAGAAATTTTGTTTTACTTTATTATAAGTACATAAAATATTGTTTTCTCATAAGTCATAATTAATAATTATTAGTTAAATTAATTTTTTTTATAAAATCAAACATAAAAAATTAACTCTTGTTTTTACAGCAGTAAAATTTTTAATTATTTTGTTTGTAACCAATTCAGCTGTCTTCCATTTTCATTGTGTAATATACTAATGTAGGGAAAGCGATCTTGACCAATTGAGTTTCGCAATTAATTCTTTATTAATTTTAATTTTGAGATAAATCTCTCTGCTGAAACAACTGTTATGGGTAAGATTAAATAAAAAACATGAATTTAATACATCACTGCATTTAGTACTAAAATTATTTTCAAAAATAAATATGGTAAGATCTTTTATATCTTTCCTTCTTGAAAAGTTTACAAACAGCTCTTTTATGGAGAGTGATCGACATGTAAAGTCTGAAATCATGTCATCGTGATGTAACTTTAAAAGATCATAAAAAACTTTGACTATATCTTTACCTTCAAATTAATCATTAAATGCACAACTTTATTTTTCTTAATTCTATTCTTACAAACTAATTTTAAGGCGAAGAATCGGAAAATTTTTTATAAAAGCCATATTTAGTATGAAAAATACAGATTTTAAATATTGGTATATTGTGCTCAAATGACTTCAAAATATATAAAACAAATATTTTAATAGCGCCTTATAGACCTAGCATCAGAAATTTGAGAACAATTAAGTTCAATACTCTAGTAGTCTCTCATTTAGATACATGAAAAAAAAAAGCATATATGAAAACTTTAAGGTATTTGTTGAACTCAATCACTGATAAATTAGTCGGTTTATTAACATTTCTTTGAAATGAACATAGTTCTGTTTTATTTACAATATTTTGCTTCGTTGAAAAAATAATTGAAAAATTCTAAAGGTGTATCTAATGTTACCCTAGGATAGAGATCATCGCAGACGTTGACGATCTAGCGCTGCTCATCTCCAGGAAACACCGTACGAAACTCACGGAACGCGCGAACGCGCTGCTTAAAATAACGTCAAGATGGGCCTTTAACAGGAAACTAATCTTCTCAGCGGCCAAGTCGCAGACCCTATGGATGAAGGGTCAGTTTAGTAAGCCCCTTGATTTGCAGCTTGTTGGGGCTGAGATCAAAATGAAATCCGAGGAGAAATACCTCGGGGTCACGATTGATCCGCAAAGGAAATTTAGTACCCATCTGGCGGAAAAGGACGCGTCCTTGGTAGTGCTATTCAGTCGATTAACATCTGTGGCTAAGTCAAGCTGGGGCCTTAAAGAGAGGACAAGAATCCTCTACAAATCAGTGTTTCTACCGCGTATAGTTGTGCGGTCTCGGTATGGGCCGAACGCTGCATGGCACAGTACTGACACAGAACACGAGCAAACACCGCTCAGAGACGCTCGTTATTGGCAGTAACGGGCGCGTATAAGATCACATCGACGATGGCGCTCCAAATCATTGCTGGAGTACCTTCCTTAAATTTAGAACTAGTTCGGCTGGCTAAAGTCAAAAGGGACAAGGAGAGGCAACACGTCGGCATCAGACGCTGTTGAAAAGGCGAAACAGTAATACGATACCACCATACTCCTCTGGCAAGAAAGATGGGTCGCCAGTGACAATGGTAGATAGGAGAGGGACAGACTACCTCGCGGGGTGAATTAGGAGTCCTCTCCTCATGACTTATTTCTTGCCTAAACCTAACCTAGCACCCTGACGTTTAGGGTGACTACGCTCAAGCGACAGGCGACTACGGGTGTTCACCGAATACCCGCACTCGTCTGTGGCGGGACCGCCGCACTTGAGGAAGGACTCGTGATGGTTGTGGAAACACCATCTTAGTAGAAGGGGTTTGATTTGAACGACATCCGTCAGACCTTGGTCGCGGAGCAGTTCATTTTGACGCCTAATGTGAGGTAGCGTCCCGGGCTGGCTTTCGGAGTGCCTGGCTCCCAGGAGCTCACCCTGGTCTTTCGCCCGGAGGAGGTAACTTCGCAACTATATAAAGTGGCAAAGTGTCTGGGGTAAAATCCGGAAGAACTTGTCAGACTCCGCAACACATGGAAAAATGTCCTTTTGTACTATTTCTTTAGGTAATTGTTCAATATCTAAATCTATTGTAATATTGTCAACTATTTATTACTCGTGATTAAACATAAGATGTTAATGAAGTGTTCAAAAATAATTAAAAATACTTAATGTAGGTTGTAAATATATTAGTTCCTTTTAGGTGTTCATCATTATTTAAATCATACAATTTCATCATCACTTTCCATATCATTTTCCAAATCACAATCTTCTAAATCATCTTTACTTAAATCCCAGTTAACAGATAATAGCTGTTCAATACTTAAGATCTTGAATTAATTTAAAATAATACTGTATCTATAATTAGCCAAAATACTTTAATTTTTAAATTTTCTTTTGTTATACTTAGTCCGGCGATCTCTATCGTTCTTATTAAACATATTCATACTATTTAATAATTTTTTGGTATGTCTCAACCTTTACATTGATTTTTGGTTGTTAATAATACATTTTCATAGCCACAGCTTAATCTTGTAATAAAATTAGTAGCCTCTTTTAAATTTTTGGAAACACTAAATAAATTTGTATTTTTTTTTTTTTGAATTTATTTTGATATGGCTTAAGGAAATAAAAAAAAAATAAAATAAATATATTTTACTCGTAATGATATTATCTAAAATTAGTGTACCTAGTAACCTCAAGTTTGTTTATTTGAAATTTTATAAATAATTTTTTTTTTTGAGCTTTATATTTAAATCATTTAATAACTAAATACTTTACCTTAGAAATCAATTTAATTTTATTACCGTCATCAATATTATTGATCACGTAAAATGGCTCAAGTTAAAGAATGTATACAAAAAGCATACGAAGTACAAAAACAATTTGATTTTAACTCATTCCGAGTTACAATATAAATTTATTATTATATATTTGATATTTTATCAAGAATTCAATATACTTTACAGTGTTCAAAAGTACGTGAAACTGTTGTTCCAAAAAGCTGTTTACCCAAACCATCCAAACATAATAATTGCAGATGTAAAAGTGTCGCAGTTTGCAAATCATTAAAGGTATATCACATTTTTAAAGAACAATCCAAATTTGTCATATTTTCTTTAATTTATTCGGTATTAAATATTCTATTCTATTTTGATATTATATTCTGATTATGATTCTGTAAACATTAAAATGAAAATTTCTATATACAATTTTTAATACTTTAAATTAAAACTTCAAAAATTGTTTTTTTTTTTTTTATTTAATGCTTCTGAGAAATGTATACCTAATTGTTTATACTTTGCAATGGTGGAATAATAGAGCTGAAATAGATTTGTTAATAGAAAATATTTTAAAATGTTTAAGTAAGAGTAGGTATGTAGGTCCACATTTCTCAATAAGAGATAAAATAAAGTTATATTTTCTCAAATTGATAATCACCTTCGACAAGCTACATATAAAGAGTGAACTGTTTACATGATAGTTAACATATTATTCATAAATCGGATAAAAATAATATTAAAGAGAGAGGATGTGTGGCTTATAAATTAATCTGGAATCTACCAAGTTAAAAGTATTGGATGTTCTTAAACTATTAGATCTTTATTCCACTAAAGGAATGATGGACAAGGATATTATAAAAAACTTTCATATGGGACATAAGGTGAAATTAACATACGTTATACGAAACCTATAAATCCTATACAAAATACCTCAATAACCATACCTTATTTATGTCATTGGATTTTTAATAATATCATACCTAAATATTTTTATAATATCTTCACTACAAATTTTCAATATCTGTTAAAATGGCACTCGCAGTATTCTATGTGTAATGCGATGTCCTTTATAAACTAAATATATTTATAAAATAAAAATATTTATAACAGTTTATTTTTTTTTTTATTAATTGTGAATTTAAACTATTACCATTTAACCAGTTATTGGTAATCTACAACTTTTTTTTAAAATTATATTAAAATGTATTAGTATATCATTTAATATCATAATTATGTTACATGGTATTAAATATAGGTGTTTTTGGTATTTATTTCCAGAATGAATATAAATACGTCCAACCATGTCGTCCGGATCTGTGTATACCTGCCACGGTAAGTACTTACACTCCACATTCACATATACATTTTCTGTAAGAACACTGGTAATATTAATCATGCAATATTATATTTAAATCATATTTATTACATGCATTTGAATAGGTAAATGCACCTATGAAATAAAAAATTAGAAAATTAGCTAAATGATAATTTTTTTTCTTAAACCAAGAATTTTTCGAATTTGACTCATTTTATTTTGACTTAATATTGGCCATTATTTTATTTTTACTTTTTTTTAAGCTAAAAATAATACTTTTATAATATACTATAATGGTAGTTAAAATATATATAGAAATAAAATACCTGAACATTTTTGTCTTATGTTCATACATAACATAACATTTAATATATATGTTATAAATGTATAGCACAGTTAAAAATAAGTTATGTAAAATAAAAAAAAAACTGTCTGATGCCACTGTGATGTATTTAAAATATTTTTCTAACTCTATTACGGTAGTTTTCTAATTGACAGTAATTATTTACTATTTATAGCAAACACACTTAAGCGATGCGCGGTTCACTGACGACTCCATTTACAGTCGTTCGTTCTACCAACACGATGTTTGTCGTGTCAAGCCTGTCATACACCCTGACCACTTAGTAATGGCCGGTGAATTTCAAGATGATACGGTGCACAAGGTTTGTTTAGAGTTTTTATTTTTAAAACAGATAAAAAAACCTCTTTCACGAAAATTATAAATATTATTGTTTTATTAACTATCTATGACGCAGCTTGCGTTTATAGTATTTGTAATACCTATTATTCACAATAAGCGGATCTCTGTGAGTGAATATTATACAAGCTATACTTTTAGAAAAACAATATATTTATAAGCTTAATTAGTTTGATTAGTTATTGTTATTTGTGTTGTTTAACTATCGCAGTTAAGTTACCCAGTACAATGTTCGCCGGTAGTGCGAAAAATCACACCCAAGGACCACTGTTTGACTGGCACAGGACCAATGCGGCTGATAACTACTCAACAACATGATTACTATGGGCCGTGTGATAGCGGGCGCCGAAAGAATATTATTCCGTCAGGTAACCTTATTCGGTCTGAATGTCCGATGGCAGGTTTGACCACTACCAACTGTTCATACCAACCGGTGTGCGCTGGACCGATGGAGAATTACAAACCTCACACTTGGTATGCACCACAGTGGCACTCGATAGTGTTAGGTTTAGTGTGATAGGAAAGAAGATCATTTACATCTAAAAATTTCCCTTTTCGCCCAAATTTCAAAAAAAACTCCATTGTATTTTTTATCTAAATTTCTACAGTGAAAATTTTAGAAATCATTTCAAAATTAGCTACTTATGAGTATAGCTATATATATATATGTTTATATAGTAGAAATTGATTATAACGAATTTAAAGGGTTAGCAGATTTTCTTGTTAGGTTAGTACCGGTTAAAACGAGTACTTATTGTAAATTGTAAACGTAAAATACAAAAAATAACAGAAGTTTTTATTTTATAACTCGTGATTATTTTAAACTTGAAAATGTAAAAATTCGTAGATGTTATGTTTATATACAACACAAATGTATAAAGCATAGTATGTAAGTAATACATATTAATATAATTAAAAAAAAATAATTCAAATTAAATTTAAATTATAAATATTCAATTAATGATTTAAAAATAAATTTATATATCAACAAATATAACGATCGGTTGACCTAAATATACCAAATAAACACATACATATTAGGAATAATTATGATTACCAGCTCGTATCAACCGAACATTTGTTTTATAATTCAATGTATTTTATTCGTTTAAGCCGATAAATTGTTATAACTTATTTCGTTTTAGAGATTTTTACTGTATACATTTACTTTTTTATTAACTATTGAACATAATATTGCCTATAACTCAGAATAAGATTCGTTATTATTTTTGATAATAATGTCATGTGCACAACACTGAATACATAGCTATACTGTTCCTGTGGAAGGAATGGATATGAACACCGTGCAAAGATGCAGCTACAAACTAGTCGAACCGAAGGAAAAACTCCCAACTCCGTGGGCAGAAAAGGTGGAATATTGTAAGCCGGAGGATGCAATAGAATGTTGTACGGTTTACAACTATAGGTATCTTTTTTTCAAAAATTCAAAAGTAGTAAATTTTAATAATAATTGTGTTAATTTACCACTCTCTACATGGTTTAAGATTTCATATTAATTTTTTATACTTTTCAAATAAAATTTTGAAATTATTTTTATTTTTTGTGAACACATAGCTACAAGGAACCGGGTGTGTATATGTTGGACGATGGGTGCGGAAACACGCTCGATATTACAGCAGAGAGTAACTTAGGTAAAAAAATAACAGAAATACCAACCTACTTATCATATATTATCATGTATAACACCTCACATTTTTTTTTTTAGAAAACTGTTGTCCACCTAGTTGTCTGGCTGATAATGTGGATAATGAGTTTAAATCACAATTCATCAAAGCTCATCAGTTTGAGGATTAACCAATGCAAAATTACAGTATTTATGATGTATATAAACGTTTATACGTGAAATTCTTCAACTTTGAAAATAAAGCTTCTAAGAAATTGTTGACAAAATTTATATCAAATTGGTCTAAACTATTTTTTATTTTTATTTATTTTTATAGTTGGCGTTAAAGTTGTATTTTAATTGGGATATTAGAATATGACATCTCCCACGCATATATGGTTTAGGATTCATTGCTGTGATAACAATTCTCTTCCTCTTTTTTTTTTTAAAATTTTTTATTAATTTTTTGACATTTCTTTTATTTTATCTATCTTCTGATCTTTCTTTTTTTTTAAAAAAACTGTAATCATATTAATGGTTTAAGATGGCCCAGATTGTTTGTCTTTCATTCTAATTTCATGATTTATAAACTTTTTTGAGCTCTGTAGTTTAAAATTTTCATCTCTTGCTATTTTTTTCTTCTATGTTGCATATCTGCTTGACTTGTATCTGATGTGCTCTTTTTAACAAAGTATGAAACATTTTTCGCATAAACACGTATCACGGCACTTATTTATTTTTCTTTCCTTTTCTGTTAGATAATTCTAGTGCATAAAATCTCTATTTGACTCTATATCTGAACTGATGAAGAGATGTATTTGCACAGTATTAATTTTTTGGCGAAGTTCATAGTTTTTAGTCCGAATACGAAGTTTTACAAAATTGTAATATCGAAGTATGTAAAGTCTGAAATCGTGTACCACAATTATTATAAACAATCCTTTAAAATTTTTTTTTTTCTAGTAGCAATTAAGGTTAAGGATAATAATGCTAGTGTTATGTTCAGTTTAACATTTTATCAACATTTTGATAACTGTTCTCTGAAACTACCAAACGAAACCAAATGCTTAATTTAAATGTGTTAATTCCACTTGTTTTCATTGGGGATAAAGCCATCCCTCTTTGAAATTATTGGATGAGACCATTTCCGCGTAAACAAGCACAAGATAATGTAATTTTCGTACTACAACTGTAGACTTTGTTGATCAAGAATGACAGTTAAGTTTGCATTTAGGGTATTCTTTCATCAAAATTTAGAATTATTTTGAAATCGATTAAAACTAAAGTAAAAATCGCTGAAAAATAACAAATATGAAATAAATGATGAAAAACCAAAAATATGAATATGAAACTCCATAATCGCGTGGTTTGAATTTCACCACGTGACACAAACAAAACTAGGTATTTGTTTTTTTCAAATTGCACGCGAACAAATTCAATGCATGCATTGGAAACGCATACATGTTATCACAGGTTTGTTTATTTTGGTTGCAAAAACACAAGCACCACAATTTATTCACTAGATTCGCCAGATTTACGTAGAATATGGCCATTGTTAAAGCAGTTCAACTATCTGGGCGATTCAATCGACCTCCAATACTAAGCGATTAGTGCTAAAGCAGCTAAAGGGGCAATTCAGAACAAATCATACATAACCGTAATAATAATTAAAAGAATAATTTAACTTTTACAACAATTTTAATTTTGAATATCTATTTCGGCTATGAACATAATTATATTATATTAAAAGGCGCGATAATTGATGCGTTTTCGTTGCTCGCCGCACAGCTCATCATCGATACGTAACGTATTTCGTTTGTAGATCAGCTGCACATTGATACGGGCTGACGATTGTTTGAGTCGTCGCTGGCACACGATCGTGTCAACTAGCATTTTTTGAAGACTTCGCACATTATGTTCTAACTCAACCATCTCTTCATTTAGCTTCACTTCCAACTCGTCCCTGCACAGTTCTATACCCTCTCTGTGTGTACGGTTTAACAGCCGAGTATGGACTAGCGCTATATATGCCTCTTTATCGTCGATGGCGTCTTTTAGTTTATTAATTGTTCCTTGTACTTCTTCTGCGTTCTTGATCGTCTGCAAATTGGACCACATTTACACATTTATTGGACCGTATTAATACTTGTTTATTTGCTTTTTTTTTTTTACTGTATGAATTTAGGAGTCCTGTTTATAACAATTTTATTAATATTTCATACATACTTCGTCTCTCTGTTTACTCAATTTTTCGATTACTGCTAAATATTCTTGTACCCGTGATTTGAATGCTTCTTCAACTTCGTTTGATTGACTCACTAAGTCATTGATCATTTTATTTAAACACTTGTCAAAATATGCACGAATAGGTCTACCATCTATTAGAATTTTACTGGCTGCTAATATTATGTCCGAAGTGAATTTATCCCATTTAGAAAATGAAATTTCTCTAAATATAGATAATTGATGCAAGTTATTATAGAATTATGTGTTTAATGACTACCAGTATTTTTATTTCATTAAAAACGGGCTGGATAAAGGTGACTGTAGAAATTAAATTTATTTGGTACAATTTAATCTTGACTTTAAATTGTTTCTTTAAATCCTATTGTTAAAAATAGCGTAGGCTACCGCTACGGATTGTAGTCTGTCCGCTTTTTATTTGACCACGCATTAATTGATTTATGCAATTTAAGATTTAACTAATGTCAAATGATAGTTTGTATCACTTTAAGCTAAAATACTTAAATAACAGTAAATTTAACTTAAAAAGTTTTTTATTTTAAACCTCAAATGCTAAAATATGCTAAAATATAATTCTTCAGTTTTTTGTAATATTTCAATCCTTACAAAATTTGATATTTAGTAGCTTATTTATTAAGTATAAATTGTATGCCTAGAATGTTATTAAGTTGGAAACAGTTTTTAGCTCTTTAAACTAATGTTTGCAGTATTAAACTAAATAAGAGTATAGTGATGTTTTTCAATTTTCAGTATGACACTTATAAAATGTATAAATAAGATATAGTCCTTCACTAATTTATTTAATTCATTATTTAAGCCAGTCATTTTCTCAAAATTAATTTATCAATGAAATTAATTTAATACATATTAATAATTATAAATGTTTTAACAAAAATATAACATTCCAACTACTTTAGTTTTTATACAAAATTTAGGGCTTCAAAACAATGAAAGTGATTTTAGCCATTTAAGGTAACTATTACATGTTATTTCCATCAAGAGGAAGAAACTAAATCAATTAGTAGAAATTTGATATTGGAGTATTTTTATACTATAATAGACCATACTTAATTTAACAATGCATTCTTGTACGTCATAGCTAGGAACCATATAAATAGATAAAAGAAAAGTTTCTAGCTTACTAGAGTTTAAGTATATAATTGTATTTGTTATATAAGTATGGTCAATCAATTGTTTTAATTGTAATTATTCAAAAGTACAAGTATTTCTTAATAATGAAACAAGCCTGCATTGAATATCTATGTCATTTAAATAATTATTGTGGTGACCGATCGTAGAATTCTGCACAGCACTCACTACACTATCAGTATTAACAAAAAAGCTATTTAAAACTCACGCTGGTTTAATTATGTTTTTGTCGTTCAAAATAGACAACTCGACACTCTTTTCATTTAGTTTTTCATTGTACTCTTCAATTTTCAATGTATTTTCTTTACATTTCAAATCCTCAGCTAAGTTGTAAACAAATTCTCTCAGTTTCCTTATCTGTACTTTGACTTTTTCTACCAAATCTTCGAGTTGGCTGTTAACAACTTTGATTACTTCACGTTCTCGCAATAGTTCTTTTTCTACGTCATCAAATACCAAATCAATACCCTGCCGACAATTTCTAGAGAGGAATTATTAAAATTATATTTAATAATATCGATGCAACTATAAAAAACTTAATTTAAGCCATGTCACCTAAGCCTAAGACATTCGGCAATGGCGTCAAGAGCATCTCCAACAAGCCGTTTTTTGGCGTTTTCGATGCGATTCTGATAGCCTAACAGCAGTCGAATCTCTTCATTTAAACCGTTTTTGTATGTTTCTAGTTCCCTGCATTTGTACTCTATATCTTTGACTTTGACTTTCGATTGATGGTCGATTTCTAGTTTATTTTTCCCCACGGCATCTTTTGCTTGGTCAACTAACTGATCAGCTTCGATTGCCAACCTTTGAGATAGTTCTTGTTGTTTTTCGGACGCCATAATTTCCAGTTCACTACTATACCACCATTCTGCTGGGGTATGGTAATCACTTTTTTTCACTTTGTTATCATTTTTACAGTTCATCTTTATTTTAATAATCAAACGTAGGAGCAAAAAATAAAAGTTTAACTATTGTCACTATTTTTAATTTGTGAATAAATCATTTTTATGAATAAACAGTATTAAGTCTTTTGTGCAAGTTACTATAGTTATAGCTATGGGCGTATTAGTGGTAGAGAATAAGAAATAATATTAAAATACATATTTACAGGTCAAAACGATAAAAATAATACATGAGGAGCTGACAAAAAATTAAAATCCTCTTTAGGAAATTTTTATTCTGTATAGGTAGACCAGAATTTACTATTGTGTTATGATTTCATAATATAATAATGTATTTACTCATTTTTAAAGATAAGGGACTAAAAGACTTAGTTTTTATTTAGCAATTTGTTTTAGATATACACTTTATAATCGAAATTATAAAATTATTTCAACACATGACAATTGTTTTTGAATTGTCATAAAATGGTTGAATTCAATGTATTTGAATTAACTACTGTTGTGTCATAGTTTTTGATGCTTGTAATGTAAAAACAACATTACTTATATTTTTATACAAATTTCAGGTAATTTCATTAACTAAAAAACAATTTTATACTGTGACAAAAATTGCATATTTGAAAGATGACATTATGTAAAACAATTATCCTCATACTAAAGAAAGACAAGCAAAGAAAAAAATGGGTACACAAAATTGAAAAAAAAAAAATAAGACTTCGGTAAGAAAATGAACAATTTATTAATCAATATTATACTCATTGTTTCAATATATTGAACACGTTTTCAATAGGATCCATAATCCATATATTGTCAATATTATAATAATATTTAGTCATTTATTTACCATTTAAATTGATATCATGTAGCCCACATTGTAAATTTAGTGTTTTTTTTTCCAATTGCTTTAGACCACTTTTATTACTAAAATTATCTGTCTCACTTTGTGCATGTTAATTATCATACTGTTTTTCAGCACTATTCTCTGTTTCAATTGTTATTACTTTATTATTTATAGACTCTGAATTTGTTTCACTATTTGTCTCAGAGTTTTGACAGTATGATGTGTCTTTGGTTAAATCATCATCAATTAAGTTATCATCAGATAATGAAAGAGTGTGTTTCTGAATTGTATTAGTTTTTATTATACCACTCAAAGGCAAAGTGGAAACCAAATTCAGGTCTGAAGATTGAAATTTATCCAGGATACTCCCTTTTATTAATTATATTACCAAAGATTTTTTTCATTTTTAAAACTTACAAAAATATATACTTATACAAAGCATTTCAATAATAATTGATTGTAATAACTAATAATAAATACATTTTATTTTATTTATAACACATTACTTCTTTTAATTTTATAAATGTATTTCAATCACTATTTTTTTTATTATAATTAATGTATTTATTTTTGTATTAGAATCGTAGTTGAAAGACAAATTATTTAATATTTAATTATTTATGATGTAATTATGTATTCATACTAATAATAATAATTTTAATCTTAAAATATTAATGAGAATAATGACATTCCTTATCTTGAGTCAGTTTTTTAAAATCTAGTACTCTTGTAGAACAACTAATGCGCAGAGTGTTTTCAAAATGAAGATCGGTTAATCTTAAACGATATTTATTTTTTAAATTTTTGAAATTCATTTTGAAGAATGAAGTTTCACGTATGTATGTGGAGACAAATATGGTTACTAATTTTTTCAGCCATTGTTTTATAGTTCATGTACTTATCCAAAACATGGTTTGCCTAATAATCTTCAGTACACATGTTTTATATATTTTCAATGAAATATCTTCTTGCAAATCATTAATTTCCATTTGAAGTGAAAATTTTGGAAGTCTGAATAATTTCTTAGCTACGTCCATCTATTCTCTAGTTAGAGAAATTTTAAAGGATTTTTTAAAAATTGTGACAGTTTTCCAGTTCCTGCAAAGTCTTTGAATCGCTTAACAAATTCTTCACTAAATTCCGACAGAATACTTAAACACATGCCGCAGTCTATGTCAGAATTATTTTTATATTCAAGGATTGTTGAAAAATGAATAAAATCTTGATTTTTAATATCTTCTTCAAATTTTTTAAATTTTCATCGAAAAGCAGATACACTGAATATGAGATTGCAAATTAAATTTTTAAATTCCTTGTAACTCAATATTAAGTACATTTAAATATGTAAGAATGTTTTTAAAAAAAGCCACAGCACGTATATTGCTCTCGTTTACTAAGAATTTATGATACTCCTTTAATTCTTCCGAGTTAATACGAACTGAAATGTTACAAGCAGTAGATATTAAGTATATTGTACCGTTTTCTGTTATCGTGATTATTTTTATAAACAGCGATAAACGATGAACGCTATCGTAACCTCCAAATACATTATAAAAATAGATAAAACTAGAATTATTTAATTATTTTTGGTGGTCCAGTTAATTCCTTCCCACAGGTCGGACTTGGCCCACGAGTCATCTATTGCCGGCCCCTGTTTTAAAGTATCATATTTACATGTAGCACAAATCTTCAACGTTGATCCAGAGGTAAAAAATTCGACTGATTTGACTACACTAACAACAAAATAAAAATTAGAAATCAGCCTACCAACCACAAAAATCACGCAAGGCAACCGCAAACACGTATCAGGAGGGGAGGTTTCTACTAATATATAAATTAAATATGTAATTAAAACACGTAAATATATATGACGAATGACATGCCAATGGCACCGCCGTAATATTTAAAATTTACAATGTGCCCCTTAATTTTTCGGCAGGTATAGGAGGTGCCTCCTCCTCCGTGACCCATGAATGCGGTGTCCAAAAAAATTATAGAATATAAGTATGAGTATGCAAAGAACAAAGAGAAAAATGTATGCTATATGGAGGGAGACAAATAAAAAATAATAGAAAACGGAACAGCCATCAAGATACAGAGAGGGCTGGAGTTTTTTTTATGGATTAGTGGGAAGTTTAACCACTTTTACCGCGGGTCTTGTTACGATTTCTGTTACCTAACAACTAAGACGACCTGGTCAGCGCCTGGAATAGCCGCAACCACTTTGATGACAGATCGCAAAGCTCATATATCGAGCATTGCATATCGTAGAGTGTGCCTATGAATTGACGGATACGAACACTTTGCAGATTAGATAAATCGGCCATGAAAACAAAAAAACATATTCAAAAAAGCATAAACTGTCGCTTATTCAAGAGATTGTGCAATCTTAAAAAGCTGTACTAAAAAAAAAAAAAAAAACCATTTAATATCTATAAGATAGAACAGAATGAATTTTAGAACATCAATTTTTAAAAGACCTTTAGTTTTAAGAAAAAAATAATGAAGATAATGACTCAATCGCTGCCATAATAAGTAATAGAATTAACTTAAGGCCATGCTATCTGGTATTATATTTATTGATTTTTTTTTGATATTTTATATGTACCTAAATAAATCGTATTAAATTATCTTTAATCTTCATATATATAAATATTTAGTTATCATTGTACAAAAAAAATGTTTGATTAGGATATTATGGTGTCAAAGAGAACTTGTTGGTTAGAAATAATATATGTTAAATGTAGTGTTTATAAATTAACAATTAATAGGTTCTATAGTAATAAGTTATGTTTATAAAAATAATTTCATTTATTAATTTATCCATACATATTATTATGTATTTCATGTTTGATTTGGTAGTTTATAATAATGTTACGTTATTTAAGTTAAATTACATGAATTTATCAACAATAATTTTATTTTTGTGTCTTTTATTCATTTCATTGATATCTAAAGTCATTTGTCGTAAGTATTAATATTTTAAAATTTCATATAAAATAAATAATTAAATTATTATAATTCAAGAGCAATCAAATACGGTCAACGAATATAACGCCAATCAAACTACAAATGACAAATTGATTTTCAAAGAACATTGCATTGGCTGTGCCAGGTACGACAACGCTGGAAATGATAACGGCGTTACTTTAGAGATTACTAAGAAAAAGGTTTTACATTATAAGGATCCCATAAAAGTATTAGGTTAGTAAAATCAGATTTTTTGGTATAATAACAAAAGAATATTAATATTTTGAGTGGGGTTTTAATTATTTTAAGAATAAGCTGTATCATTTTAAACTCTAAATAAATTTCAAAATCCGCTTAAGAGATTATTTAAAAAAGCCAATTTCCAAATTCGCTTTTCAGTATAGAGGTGTCAAGTGTACATTTTCTTTGAGTAGTTCATTGTAATGGATGCGTTAAATTTGAATTAAGTGATAAATTGTTTGATATGATGAAAATGATTCTTGACTAAGAAGATTTGTCAGCTAATAATTTATATGTCTACACAATTATTCTTTAATAATTGATGAAATTTGATATAATTTGAAATTTAACGTTTATAAGGGGCACACTATACATTTTTAATGTGCAAATTCAGGGTTGCAGGGGAACTTTAGTAGTGTTGTTTTATCTTATATAGTTCTATTCTATGTTAGCGTTCAGTGATAAAACCACAAGAGAAAGGAAACTGCCACTCATTCTACTAAATTATGTATAAGACTTGTACTAAAGTATAGTTTTATAAAATATATAAAAAATTTATCAAAGTAAATAAACTCATATATTTTAAGAAAAAAATGTAAATAGTAAGTTAGAATATTGTAATTTTATTTATAATTGGTAGCTAGTAAATTGTCCATATGACTAATATGAGGTAGGTACAAATAATATGACGTTAAAAATTAATAAGGCCTTCGATTCAATACAAATTTTTATCAGGGTTCATTCCATTAAAAATACACGGACATGAAAACAATTATTTTTATATTCTGGTTTATATCTTAAATTTCTATCTATCAAAAACTTTTTACAAGTTTTTATTTTCATTTACGTAGATTACGGTTTTTTTTTTAGTTTTTTTTTTCCTTGTATAATAGTTATTTTGCACAGATAACCATTTAAACATTAAATAAATAGTATTTTAATCATGATTTGGTGGCCCATGGTTGATCCATTGAATTGATTTTTTTTTACATTAAATAATATTACAAATAATTCGAACAATAAGTGAATTTGATGGTATATGGGATGGGTAGGTGTAGGAGAATAAAAAATAAAATATTAAGAACGTCCCAATGAAGAATCTTCTCATTTAAGGAACTTCTACATGGATTTAGTAGTTATTAATTTAGAGAGGTAAAAAAAAATGTGGAAAATAATAGGAATAGTTATGGGTACTACAATATTAGGAGGTCAACGGCACATCATCTTTTTAGCTTTTTGTTACGAGTTGCCAGATACATTTGTTGATGAGAGTCCTTTAATAAGGGGATTTCTGTGATTTTTTTACATTAAGTTTAAGTCATATGTAATAACGCTTTAGCTATATCATGGACTGTAAACTTAGCAAAGTTATTAAGTATGGAATAGTTTGATACATATAAGAGTGCTTTGGTTATAATCTAGAGGGTTTTAAATTGAAATCGTTGGATTTGATTTATGTTCGAAATTTTTGAAAGGCTCCCTGGTTTGAATACCATAAGTCCAGATTAATCTAATGAAAAGTGGTGTGATAAGATATTATCACACCATTGAGAAGACGGAAGCGTTCATTCAGAGTTGAAAGTTTTACAGGATAAATGAGACGATCAAATAAGACGTTGGTCTAGGATAATACCTAGGTAACGGATGCATTGTGCTATTAGTAGAATTAATTCAGACTCATTGAGAGTAAGGGAACAACATTTTTTCTGTCAAAGTGTGAAGGAGTAATGTATTGATTCATTTATTTTCACATCCCATTTCCTGTACCATTTTTTGAGGAGAACCTAGGTTTTCTTGAATAAGTGAGGAAGCAGTATCGACGTTGGCGCTATTAGATATTATTGCTTTATAGTCGACAGTCACCAGTAAGTGTGTTATATAGAGTGGGTTAATTGAATATGAAAATATTAAACAAAAGGGAAATTGTGATTGCAGTTTGAGGTCCCTTCATTTATTGATTTTGATGAGAATGTGGATGAGTCGTACCATACCGGAAAAAAGGTCTCCCAGTTATAATTAAAGAATCAGGTAGTCTTGAGGTGGTAAGATTAGTGGTGGTGACAGAAGTGCATTATTTTTTATACCACGCAGGATTGAATGTGTCGATTTGAAAAGTAGTAAGTGATTACGATGTGAATGACATATATAACGGTGCATCTATACCCAATGCCATCTGGATGGTAGACTTAGTAGGAGCGGTAGCTTTGTAGATTAAAGGATTAATTATTTGTAATATGGGTCTCAGATATTAAAGCAATATCAATTCTTTTTTCTTGGAGTATAATTAGGAATTCGTCTTAATTGTTTTTTTTAGACCGTTCTCGTTCCACGAGAGGATTGCCAGAGGGTTGTTGATGAATGAATTATTTGTTAGACTTCGATATTACTTGGATATTTTTTTTTGGGAAGATTCAAAATAAATTAAATTATTTTAATGCATAATTGTCTATAAAAAGCATGATATTTTAAAACTCTGAGGTAGGTTATTATTCATGGTGGGGACTAAGCCTCACAACTACGACTATAAAATAGAACAACTGTAATATATTTTTGAAATTTATTGAATTGTAAGACAAACTTGTGAGGATCTTGTATTTAATTTTCAAGAACTTTTTGTTTCAAATTATTTTAAAAGAAATAAATTTATAAAATGTAATTAAAAACATTTGTTAACAATTTTGAGTTTCTATAATAATTATTCGTTTTTTTAATTACTATGAAATTAAAATGGCCAATATTCTTATTTTTCATAATCATATTTAATTTTTTTCCTGAATATTATGAAAATTACTCAGAAATTTTTATTTTAATTCCTTCAAATTAAATCTATTTTGTTACTTAAAAAAGCTTCCTTGAATTATAGTTTGAGTATTTTTTTTAATTGTAAAAGAATATTTAGACAAAAAAAAAAAATTAAATAAACACAAAAACATTTTTGTAAATCAATACATGCATCGTTCTACTTGAAAAATTTCGAGCACTTCATTTATAGGTAATAGATATATACAATTACATTTCCTTATAATCTATATTAAGTTTGCAGTAAGTAATTTTTGTTTTTTTTTATTAGGGAAACCATTTAATAATACGATCACTAAGTCATTATGTGCCAGTCATTTAACTATAATGGGCTCAAGTCTGGTTTCGAATCATTTTACCAAACAAGGAATAGAAATGTGCACAAAGGTATGCAAAAGACAACTTGAGAGAATCTTAAAAGTTTATCCGACGATCATTGTATTAAAAGATACATACTGCACGAGAAGTGGAATTAAAATGGCAAGTTGTGTGTGTGAGTTTAAGGTTTTATGTCAAGTTAATATTCATAGTGTACTTATTCACTTTATTGTAAACCGTGATGGATATTTAGCTATGTTTCACGAAGAAGTTGGAAAACCTTATTTATTTTGATTGTATTCAAGTAGGTAAGAATTATGTTAAATTAATAAACAAATTGAAAATGTTACACTGCTTTTTATACTAATTGATATTAGCCATATTTTGAAATAAGTATTATCTGTTTAGTTGAAAATTCATCAGGAAATCATGTTTGATAAACAAATAAATAGAAATTAAATTGACCTATCTGCAAATAAGTTTTTAAAAATGACATACTTATTGAAACAAAAATACTACATATTTTATTTATTATTAGAAAAATCTGTAACCATCTATAGTGGTGATTAAGATAGGTATAAAATCCTTTTTTTTTCATTAATAATTTATAATTTTTCCTTGTAGGTAGTAAGTAATTATTTATTTTTACTAGATAAAACTAGTTTTATAAACTCGTTGTTTTCTATAAGTTTAGTGTTATTTTATAAAAAACAATTTTCTTTCCTTGATTCATATTTTAGTTATTTTATCTCTGATTGCTAATGTTAAAAGACGTTTAGCGCTAAAAATATATATGTCTTTTGATCTTATCATTAAATACGTTAACCATATTAAAATATTATAGTAAATTTTGAAGAGTAATAATAATTAATATATTGAAATCGGGTTTACTATAATGGTGAGGTTGTGTAAGTCATTGAAAACGACGAACGTCATTAATATCGATATTTTAACCTTGCATGATCATTGACTAATGACTTAATTTTTATTCTAATTTCAGCTAAAGACGAAATGTTGAAAAAGTCTTGCAATAAAGTCTAACTATAAGTATAATTTGATTCTGATTTCATATCTCGCATACTTGTAGTTTTTTTTTTTAAGTGTGTGAACTTATCTACATATCTATGCCAGAAGATTAATACAAGTTTTTATGAATCTGAATAAGATATATTTTCTTTACTTTCATTTTGTACATTATGTAAATTTAGAAGTTTTTTTAACGTTTCAAATAACAACGAAAACATCGCTGATTCCAGGTTTATATCGCGAATAGTCATTGCCACCTGGAAATTAATTGATTGTTCATTGTGAGTACTATTATAAATATGTGTTTGATTTTCTGTCGTAGTGTAAATTAACAGGCCGACAGTCGTATTAACCAACGTGCAAGTCATTTTTACATAAGTTACTTACCCTACCTAAACTTACCATATGCTTAATTTCCAAAGCCAAACGTTTGGAATGCAAATCCCTTCATTTATACTCAATCTTTTCCAGAGTTATTCACAGTTAATCCCCAAAGCCTGAGAATATACGTACTAAATTCATACATCGAATATTGTATTCGAATTAAAGCCATTCATTTATGCTCCTTTTGTAGATAAATTTGGAAAAAGGGTCGAGTAAAAAAGAAGGGATTTGCATCATAAAATAGCAAAAACGATAGGATTTAGTGGAATTCGATATTCAATATTTATATTTAGCACTTCTCTAACAACACCCTGGGTTAATTTTGAATAACTCTAAAAGGGGTTAAGAATAAATGAAAGTACTGTATTTAAAGTCGAAATTGTAAATAGGCGATGTCATCGGAGACACAAACTTGGAAATTAATATTCTGCTTTAAAATATTCAGTGGAGTAATTATAACTTTATCTTTTGTTTGCCATGAGATATAATTTGTATATATCAAGTTAGCTTAGGTATAGTAATAAGTTTATCCTTGTTGTAATGGAAATAGCATTCCCAAAAGGTACCAGGGTAAAATAAATTTTGACTGTTAAAGGTGTCTGTTTTGAATTAAAATGGTTAAGATAATCTTAGAACCGCCAAAGTTAAGTCAAATAATATAAACCTATAAATTAGTGTAATGGATTAAAGAGTTATTGAAATTATAGTTGCATATAAATAGGAATTATAAAAATAAACTTTTAACTAGTTAGAACTGAAGTATAGTTTACTTAGAACTAAATAGGCTTCTAATAAGAATTATAAAAACTTAAGAATAGAAAAGAAATGAGCGAATAATAGGTAATAAACATAAAACTAGTATTATTTTGTTAATGGCGAGATCTATTCAGACATTCATTAAAAATTTATACACACTCTATACCGTCCATTAGAACGAAAAACATCCAAATAATCTGTGCGGAAAAACCAGAAGTGGCTCGATGGGTTTTTTTTTTGTGAGTATGTAAGGAGCTTAATTTTCTTCATAATTAATGTGCAGGTCGCAGGATACATTGAATCTAGTGTCAAAACTTCACATGTCGATAAAATATAAGTATAAACAATAATATAATTATTTATAAATATTTATATATTTATTATAAGTACCATTTCAATTTAGTATTTACAAACAATAAAACTGTTATAATAATTAGTGATTTAGTAATTAGAACTACACGATTGTTTAAAATGTTTATTTTGATAATAATTATAATATCTGTCAGTCAGTCTTTATATTGATGAAAAAAAAAAAATCATACATTATAATATGTAATTTACTGGATTTTCATTTGGAATTAGGGGATATAATATACATAATGGTTTATAATATGTAAGATTCATTAATACTTATTGTTATAAATCGATTCAAATGTAAATGTCTATTACTTTTATATAATAATAATATTCATAGGTATTAGTTAGGTTTGTCAGCTACGTATATGTTGTAGAGTAATACAAATTAAATATCATTAAAAAAAAAAAAAACCAATAATAATAATAATAATAATACTATAAATTAAAATACTTATGATAATGTTTTTTTTTTTGTTTGTTTTGAGTATTTGATTAGAGTTGCATGCACTATAATATTATAAACGTAGGCCACTCTATAGTGTAAAACATGGAATTATTCTTATTAATTTTGTTCATAAGTACCTATTTTTGTTTCGAAAAAGTTTGTATGTAATATATGCTTATGATAATAATAACAATAATGTTAAAAACAATACACAATGCAATAAGTTAATAGAAATTAAAATAAAATATTGTAATAAAAATAAATCGTAATATTATTATGTAAATTGCACTTGAAGTGATACATACATACAAGAATAAAGTGTTGAGTTTTTAAGAGTAAAAAATAATATTATGTTGGACAAAATAGGAATATTGTGTAAATCTACCGATTTATTTTTTCTTTACTATATTTGCTTATATATGAATATAATGTTTATGAAAAAAAAAAAATAGAAAAATATTTTATGCGCGTCATATTAGTTGAAATATTGAACGAGCAAGATGCTTGAAATTGAAACGATAACGAACATCAATTGTGAACCGTTATGGAAATGTGACGGAGTACCGGACTTGGGGTTCTCGGCTTGCGAACACATTTTGGTACAATCGGAATCTTCGCATATCTCACATGGAGTCGCCTTTCTCGGTTCGTAGAAAACTCTGGCGCGTCTCGCTAATAGGAGGGAAAATAAATAAGTAAATAAAAAAAATTTAGCAATAACAATAAAAATAAAAGTCTTAGGCTCAAAAAGGTATATTTTTTATAATATATTTGTTATGAAACAAGATATCTACTGTGGTAAATTTGTTTTTACTTACATTGGTCGTAATAATCATAAACGGTAACGGGTACTGGCTTTTGATTGGCTACCTTGTGGGTTTGGAATGCTGATATAGTTGGACAGTATTCTTGGGCCATCATCTAAAAAGTAAAATAAAATTTGGCAAATTGATTAAATCGAATAGATCTCTGTTACTATGAACATTAAAAGAACGAAGTATCTGCAAGTGTAATGTGCTATATATTTTTCACACATACATCATACAACAAATTTACATTCAGAATTCTTATGACAGTTTTATTTAGTTCACAATAAAGCAAATTTATTATTGATTTATTATCAAATTAGTAGAGGAGAATATAAACTGTGTTCTAGCCTATAGTTTTGTTATATAAATTTATTTTAAAACGAGTCATATAAATTTGAAATTTGAACTATATAATGAGTATTTTTATAAAAAAAATTGAATAGAGATTTGGATTATATCTTTATTGCACCCGCGAATCTTGATAAAGTTATTAGCGAAAATTAATCACGCTACTACTAGACCACTGGTAATTTTAGAACTAGTAGTTTAATTTTATAGTTACTTTGTATAAACAAACAGGCACTAGTTCTGAAATTACCAGTTGTATAGAAGTGATTCATTTCGATCGATATATTTGTATATTGAGTTCAGTGGCCAATAGATAAACACACTATAGTCTACGTATAGGTATCTATAGTGGTGGTGTAATCTTACTCTCTTGTAAAAATACTCTCAAAATGTAATTCAATAACATTGAATCTAACAATATTTTGTTAAATCAATTTTCTTCAAATATATTTAAAAAAAATATATATACGTATATATTAAATATTACGTTTTTTAATTAATAATAATTAATTTTTTTATATTTATTAAAAGCTTTTATAATAAACTATTCATTTACGACAATTTTCTTATAATTTATTTTGTTATACTAGTATACCTTGTCAAAGTATAACATGACGACGGTATCTCCGTCTTTGGTCTCAACGCGTTTGATGTTGTTGGATAATCGGAGGCTGGGCAACGCGTCATTGTCTACCGTGAAACCTGATGGCAGTGTTACTTCCATCACGGCCATGTTGCTGTCATTGCCTCCTCGGAAACTGCAAAAATAAAAACCCGATATACGTTGGGGGCGAATGAGTCAATTTTTTACAGAGAAATTAATCCATTTATAATTGAAAAAAACATTTACACGGCATTTATCAAACAGATACACATGAAACTATATAAATTCATAAAATAGTTAAAAAAAAAAATCATTTACCCTGAACACACAGAAAGCTGCAGATGATTGGAGTTTGAGTTTTTATCTACTTGTGGATCCAGCGAAAACAGTGGCCATGCACCAGTAACGTTTACGTTGTATCTATAGGACACTTTGATGACGGCGAATCCAGTACCGGTGGCTGTTATGTTCAAGACGCGAGTGCGTTTTGGGAGCTATGAAAATAC